ATCTTTCCTCTAACACTTACTCCATCTCATGGCAGACAACCACAATCCCAAGAGGCCCACCTTCCCACTCCTTCCGTGTCCCTGGCCCAGGCTTCTTGCTGCTCACAGGGTTTCCCATTCTCCCGCTAGCCCAGTGTTTCGTCCCAGCTCCTGAGCCGTTTCTCCCAGCTCAAGCCCAGCCTCTCTCACCCTCACAAGCTGAATGGACACCATCAGCCCCCATCCTGCTTGACCTTTCCATGGCATTTGTCACTACCGCCCACTCCCTCCTTAAACTCTCCTTTGCTTCCACAGATTGCACCTCTTCCTGCTCCCATCCTGTAAGTGTGAGGGGCGTGTCCCAAGATCTATCCTTGGCCCTCTGTCTTCTCATCCCACTCTCTTCCTGGGAGACTCCTGATGGCTCCAATGATGGCTCCCAATCCTCTCTCCAGGGCAATCCTCTCTTGCGTTTCAAACCTGTGTCTCTGTCCATACAAGTCTCTTGAGCACAAAGCTCCACAAAGACAGAACTGAACTCATTTTCCTCTCAAACCTGCAGCTCCTCACCTGTGGACTTAATAGCCTAATAGCACCACCATCCATCCAAACCAGAAATCTGGGAGTTGTCCATAATTCTGGCTTCTCCCCCACCTCACATCCAGTAAATGATCACATTCCTTCAGTTCAACCTCCCAGCTTCCACAGATTGCACCTCTTCCTGCTCCCATCCTGTAAGTGTGAGGGGCGTGTCCCAAGATCTATCCTTGGCCCTCCGTCTTCTCATCCCACTCTCTTCCTGGGAGACTCCTGATGGCTCCAATGATGGCTCCCAATCCTCTCTCCAGGGCAATCCTCTCTCGCGTTTCAAACCTGTGTCTCTGTCCATACAAGTCTCTTGAGCACAAAGCTCCACAAAGACAGAACTGAACTCATTTTCCTCTCAAACCTGCAGCTCCTCACCTGTGGACTTAATAGCCTAATAGCACCACCATCCATCCAAACCAGAAATCTGGGAGTTGTCCATAATTCTGGCTTCTCCCCCACCTCACATCCAGTAAATGATCACATTCCTTCAGTTCAACCTCCCAAGCATCATGAGAACACATTCCTCCTTTCCGTCTTCACCACCACTGCCTTAGTTCAAGTCCCGTCATCTCCAGCTTCACTGCTTCAACCCATTAACCATTCTCCTGCCCCCAGACTTGTTCCCTTCGGCCCCCAATTCATTCCCTTCCTACTGCTTCCGGGGTCACCTTACTAAAATGCAAATCCTGTCTTGACAATCCCCAGAATAAAAATATTCCAGAAGCTCAAAAGATTAAGATCACAATCCTGAAGATAGCATAATGTGGTCTGTCTTGTAAAAAGCTTTCAACGTAAACTCCCTCGTGCCGCTTTCACTCCACTTTCATTAACCAGCAGACTCAGGATTTGCTCTGAGACTGCTCCTCCTAACTCTCACCCCGCTCCTTCTCTGCTTAGATGAATCCTCCTACCGATCCTTTATGATGCAGCTCAAAGACCACCTCCTCTGGGAATCCTGGAAGCATCCTAGGTTCTCTGAACCTCGTTAAGTCCCTAGTCATTGCTCAGTGATAGTCCTCATCACACTGTGGCACAATCACTGAAACACTGACCCTGTGCCCATTTCCCTCACTCACAGATGTGACCCTTGAGTAAGGCGGTCCGTGTTTTCCACATCTTCAAGTCGCCAGCTCCAGTAAACAGCCTTAGGTTCAATGATGCCAGAAATGAATGATCACACAGAATTCCACACCTATCTTACATCAGCAAGCAACATTACATCATTACAAGCATCACGCTTGTAATTTCTGAGAATCGTAAGATGCTATCAAAGATAATTGATCCCAATTTCAGAGATGTTAAAAGGAAATGAATGATCACACAGAATTCCACACCTATCTTACATCAGCAAGCAACATTACATCATTAGAAGCATCACGCTTGTAATTTCTGAGAATTGTAAGATGCTATCAAATATAATTGATCCCAATTTCAGAGATGTTAAAAGGTAAAAAATTGGAGTCTGTGAAATGACATTAAAGTGGCATGATTGTAAAAATCTTAAGTATTTAGTCATTAGTCTAGGAAAGCATTTTAAAAATCTAAGTGCTGTAAAATCAACCAAAACTTTCTAAGATAACTCAAATCCAAGAGTACTTCAAAAGCTTATGGAAAGATTTCTATTATCTTTTAATTCTATTTTTCCACAAACCTTTTGAAGTACGCTCATACTTCCACATGAGGGGAACACATATATGTTATCTTAAAAGGCAATTAGAATACTTTGCCTTTGAAATGTTCATTTTGGAACTATTTGTTCTGCATCCTGATTATGATACATAACACAAACATCTATTAAAAATATTCACAGAATTGTGAAAAAAACTAAAGTCATGGAAAACATTTTTAACTGTCCACTAAGGAAGACTGTTCTTTTAGACCCAACCCTGCACCCCCGCATCCACCAAGCCTGGACTCCAGCTCCACAGACCTCACCAGAACCCAGAGGACTCTTATCTTTCCTCTAACACTTACTCCATCTCATGGCAGACAACCACAATCCCAAGAGGCCCACCTTCCCACTCCTTCCGTGTCCCTGGCCCAGGCTTCTTGCTGCTCACAGGGTTTCCCATTCTCCCGCTAGCCCAGTGTTTCGTCCCAGCTCCTGAGCCGTTTCTCCCAGCTCAAGCCCAGCCTCTCTCACCCTCCTCCTGCCTCACTCCATTGACTATTCACCTTCTTGTCCACTTTACCCTGTGAAATCTGGGATCTGCTGAGGTGGGAGTAGAGGATTTGCCTTTTGTCCTGAGACTTTTATTTACCACTTCCGCAGGGCAGATAGGGTCTGCTTCAAAAGGTTAAGAATTCCCTGAACATGGTAAGACACAGAGCCTCCAAATAATCAGATTTTCCTTGGAAAACTGTAACAAGCCCAAATATTGGAGACAGGGAGATATGCCTTACAAGAAGCTTCAAAGTGTCATCAACCCACACCTTCAGCTGACTGGAAACAACCCATTGGATCCTAGAAATTCCAGAGGGCGCGTTCCATTCCCTCTCTGGGGTGCTTCATTTACTTGCCAGAGTGTCTAAAGGAATGTGAATGCAATCCTGGAGGGCCCAGCTTGCCCAACCCATCAGCTAATCACAAGATGTGAAGATACTTCACTAGACAAATGTTTTAGGTCATCCATCAATTAGCATACGTCAAACGTATGATAATTAACCATATCCTTATGCTTCATAAATTAAGAATGCGAGTGCTAGACTCTCCTGATATTCTAGTTTGCTAATCAGGAAATGGGAGAGAAAACTACTTAGTAAAACTTGGGAGACATGCAAAGTTGATCCTCTTCAAAACAATGAAATGAGAAAATCCTACAAGTACATGGTGATCCTAAATGAAATGCCTTGTAGGCCCACCGGTTTTTATTACACAATAGACTTGTAGTCAAATCTACAAGAGAAAAAAATCAGTTTAGGGAATAGAGGTTAGGCAGGGCAGCTGCCAGGATGTGGAACTGATAAGATCCACCAAGGAGAAGACATGTGCTCATGAAGACATGACTACACACACAAGAACTCCTGAGGGAAATGAGGGCTAATAAATTTGTAGTAAGTTTGGCTGTCTGGCTGACTGTCAGGACTTTTCAGTATTTCTTATAAAACCTCAAAGCTTAACCCATCGACCTCTCAGCAGCAAATCACTGCTCAAGCTCAACACCTGAATCCCCATTGGGGTACTCAAAAACATTCAAATGGAAGAGGCAAAGGGGTGAGGCTGAGCTTGAGGCATTCCAGACATCATGAACCACTGCAGACAAGTTGGAGCTATTCTTTGCTACCACTGAATACCAGACCCAAAAAAACAGATGCATTATTTCACTTACCCTTTATCCCATCTCTCTTCTGTCTCCAATGATTCCCTTCACATGCAATTTTCCTGTCAATGCAAATTCTATTTCTAATCTTGCGCTTGTTTAATTTCCATCTACATCCCCAAAGTTCTTTGAAAAACACTACCTCTTACCTTCCTCCCTTCTAAACACTACCATTTTCTTCAAACAGTAGCACTCAAACTTGCAATGAATTATGTTTTGTGGGGTTTTTAAAAATTAAAAATTAATTTTTAATTGATGAATAATAACTGTGTTTATTACAGGGTACGATGTGATGTTTTGATCTATGTATAAATTACAGAAAGATTCAATCAAGCTAATTAATGTATCCATCACCTCACCAGCTTATTTTTTGTGGTGAGAACATTAAAAATCTGTATTATTTTTAAATATACAATATGTTATTAACTGTGGCCACCATGCAGGGCAATAGATCATTAAAACTTATTCCTCCTGTTTAAACTTTGGACCCTTTGCTCAACCTCTCTCTCTCCCATTCCTCCCTCCCCCACCTCCCCAGCCTCTGTTGTAACCACCTTTCTACTCTCCATTTCTAATATCTTTTATTACACAATAAATATTTATTGTGGAGAAATTAGAAAATATAAATAAAGCAGAAAGTTGTCACCCAGACACATTGGTGTATATATCCTTCAGACAAGTTCTGTGTTTGTTTTTACAAAAATGTCAGCACTAAGAATCTTCCAAATAAAAATACCATCAATATTATTCCACATCAATATGATTTCTAACAAAACCATTTAATGACTGCTTAATATTTCACTTTAAGCATGTGATACAATGGACTTAACAAATATCCTATTCTTATAAATTTGTGTGGCTTCCAATTTTAGACTATTATAAAATCTTGCAATGAAGATACTTTCTTAAGATATTGACTGCTTAATATTTCACTTTAAGCATGTGATACAATGGACTTAACAAATATCCTATTCTTTTAAATTTGTGTGGCTTCCAATTTTAGACTATTATAAAATCTTGCAATGAAGATACTTTCTTAAGATATATTTGCATGTATATCTGATGATTTCCTTAGGACAAATGATTAAAAACGGAATCACAAGACAAAAAGCATGCAGCCCACCACCATCCTCTTAAGTGTTTTTATTCATACTGCCAATTTATCCTCCAAAAAGTTTATTCCAACTTGCTTTCCTTTTTATTTATGCATCATTCAAAAATATTTACTTTGTGCCTACTTTGTGCTGGACACTGTGGATACAGCCTTATCAGCAAAACAGTCACAGTCCTTGCCCTCATGGAGCTTACAATCTAAGGAGGAGACAGACATCCACACCATCACAAATTCTTCATTAGACAATGAGGTAAGCTAAGAAGGAAAAATACAGGGTTTTTCAAAGATGATGGGAATTTTAGAAGAACATGACATAGGCTGAAGGGTCTGGGAGGGTTTCCATGAGGAAGAATGGTTCTGGGATGGGGGCTATGGTTTTCTACCGTAAATCAGGTGAAACCAGGTTATAGAGAGCCCTGGAGAAAATGTCCTAAGTGAATGGAACAGAGTGGACAAAGCCCCTGAGAGCAGAGGAACACAGCACATTGGAAAACACATAAGCAGCTCACTGTGGCTGGAGCACAGAAGCAGTGGAGAGTAAGGCAGGGGCCAGCCCACCCAAGCCCTGCGGTGGCAGCAGCAACTTCCTGCACTCTGCCTCACCGGTGAGACCAATATTATAGTCACATGGCAGTCAAAGTCTAAAGAACTAACAACTGAATAATGACATGATTAACTGTAAATCAGAAAAAAAGTGGTAAATAAAGTTACCCTGCATAAGGAATGCACTTTCAATCTGTTCCAGAACTTTTAGGCATACAATGTTATGTAATGTACTTTAAACAATATAATCAGCTAAATACATTGGTTTAATATTTGCTGTCTAAAATATCTGCATGCCCATAGAGAGCAAAACATATAAAAAAAATTCCTTGATATTAATAAATAATATTCTAAGGCTAAGTCCATTAAAAGAGGTTTAAGGTTTGTCAGAGAAGCTTCATATTCATATTTTATTTAATACAAAAAAACCCAGAAATGTACTTAAAGCCCTACTCTGGAGACAAAGCTACTCCCACAATATTTCAGTGACCGTAATCAAGCAAGTTTTCTATATTCCAACTTGGGTACTCTTATAATATTTCACATGAATAAAAGTTAAAATCAACCTACTCTGGAGACAAAGCTACTCCCACAATATTTCAGTGACCGTAATCAAGCAAGTTTTCTTTATTCCAACTTGGGTACTCTTATAATATTTCACATGAATAAAAGTTAAAATCAATGTTTTAGTATTTTTTAAAAAAATCAAAAGTTAGAAAACATCAAGTATTCCTCATCATGTTTTTATTTATCCACGAAGATAGGAAATTATCATAAATCGAAGGACACTTTTTATTTAGTAGACTATAAGAAAAAAACGACTGAAAGTGTGTACTACAAAATTATGTGCCTAAGTGATTAGGGTCCTCAGTGACAGAGATGAGAAACTATAGGAAATTATCATAAATCGAAGGACACTTTTTATTTAGTAGACTATAAGAAAAAAACGACAGAAAGTGTGTACTACAAAATTATGTGCCTAAGTGATTAGGGTCCTCAGTGACAGAGATGAGAAACTCAAAAGGGTCACTGCTCAGCCGCCCTCATAACTAGAGCAAGAACAGCACATCTGCTAGTCGTGAATATAAAGAGACTTCAAAAATTTATCTTTCGGGGCCGACCCTGTGGCTCACTCGGGAGAGTGCAGCGCTGGTAGCACCGAGGCCGCAGGTTTGGATCCTATATAGGGATGGCCGGTGTGCTCACTGGCTGAGTGTGGTGTGGACGACACCATGCCAAGGGTTGTGATCCCCTTACCGGTCAGAAAAAAACAAAAAAACAAAAACAAAAAATTTATCTTTTGAATTCCCTATCACTTTTCCCTTTCACAAAAGAGAATGCCTATCACAATGCCAATGTTTATTCTGTATAAAAGAGTTTACTACCCCCCCTCAAGTTTTTTTCTGCTCTAAGATAAAGAAAATGCCATAAAGATACATTTAGTGAAAAATTATCTCAATATAAAATCCTATGTTTTCCATTATTTCCTGTCCTTCCTGAAGTTCACCTGGATGTTGCAGTGCAATTTTCTAAACTGCTCACTGTGGATTAGCCTATTCAAAGTAGAATTCTTCAGCAACACACAATGTAAAAGACAGGCTGAAACAGTCCTCACAAATACTCTTTGAAATAGGTAAATTTGAAATAAAATTTTCCAGTCCATTATTTTTCCTAATGACTAAACTCTGAATAAAAAACTTTTTTAAACAGAGGTTTTCAAACCAATGACGTGTGCAGCCTATTTTCATGATGCAGTCATTTAAACTTCTCATCTGTAAAACATAATGCAATAAATTATCAGAAAGGTAGAGAAAAACCCATGAAGCCCTATCTGGTTTACAAAATGAAAACCATAAGCATTATAAGACATGTAGTGTCAAATTTTTCTGGATAATTTTTTAACCCTTCTTGATGACAAAAGTAACAGAGGATTAATGTAGAAATTTTGGAAAACATGGAAAAGCAAGAAAAAAAATCGTTGTAACCCTGCCATTCAAATGGAATTGTAAATATTTGGGGGTTATTTCTTTCGGTATTCTTTCTTTTGTACACAAGTAATTGGGTTTAAGGCATACACACACCTGCATACTTTTTCTTATTCAAAATTGTTTGCATTTTTATCTTTTGTTTACTTAACATATGGCATGTTAAGTATCCGTGACATTAAAAATCCTTCTAAAACATGATTTTCACAACATAGCAAATGGATGTGCCACAATATATTTAACCACTTCCCTACTTTGGCACATTTATGTTGTTTCTAATTTTTTTACATGATAAACAAGACCGTCATAAAGGTTAAAATTCATAATACTTTTGATTATTTTCTTAAGACATATTTCTAAAACTAGAATTACTATGTTAAAAGTGAATTGGATAGGGACAAAATCACCAACCCCCCCACCCCCCACCAAAAAAACCCACAGCCTGTTCTACCAGACTTTAACTTTTCAAAGGTCACGAAACTTACAATTACGTGACACATATATTTACAAAAAAAAATTTTTTATCATAAAAAATTCAATGTCTAACAAAATTAGAAAGAACAGGAAACAAAATCACCATTGTTAGCATATACTTATAGAAAAAAATTAATTTAACTTAAACCCCACACAGTATACTTTAATCTGTTCCAAATGAGTCAGAGAACACAGAATAGCATGTTGGTACCAGAAGATGAAAAATTATCTCATCTACTTAAGAAAAGGAAAATATCTGAGAGAATGGAAGCGGAAGCCCAGAACAGGAACGTAGGAAAAATAAAAAATTTCCTACAATAAACCAGTACTACAGACCTCTCTCTCTCACAAGGCACCTTAGCCCAACTCTTTTTTCTCATTTTAAACCTTGAAATTCACCTTTTTAAATTTTCTGAAACAAACAATAATTTCATTATAACAGTAACTGACTTAATGGTTAGCACTTAAAATTCAAGGGGAAAAAAAGGAATTTCTTAAAAGTCTAAACTCAATACCCTGAAATAAAATGCTGATATTTAAGATCTTCAAAATAAAACTTTTAATACTTACTTGGTATGGGAAAGTTTTATTTCTTCCCTTTGTCTCGCAGAATAATTTAGGTTCCCACCTAAAACACAAATACATGTGGAATCCTTTCAATGTAAGTACTGTAATGTAAGTAAAATTTGACACCCCCCTGTCCCCCCCCCATCTGCATAGATACACCTTATTTTAAGCAATAGAAGAAGCTTTGGGAGAGGAAAAAGAAATAGTTTATCTACTAGAAACTTCCCAAGGGAAAAAAATAAAATCCTTATGTGATACACATAATCACTCCTTAGTTTTAGCTTTTTTTGTTTTAATTTGGACTTACATATTGCTTCAAATTTTGTTAACTGGGAGATTGTATTAATATTCAATAATAGTGAAAATAAAGAAATATTAAAGGAAATGACCTAAAATTATTTAAACAACATGTGTATTACATTCTGCTAAGTATATAACACTCTTTAGGAGAGAGCAGTTAGAAAAAATTAGTAAGGACAACATCAAAATATTATAAAGACCAAAAAATAAAAGCACTAATGCATATAATTTGTATCTGCAAAAAAAAAAAAAAATTGTAAACAAAATACTTTCAACCTTAAAATGCAAATTACAGTGATAAATATGCTTCTTTTTAAAAAATACATAAAATGATAAGAGGAGGGACTCTAGGTTATTTTTTAAATGCCATATTTCTTTATTTCTTTATGCTAACATAAAAATAATATCTAACGTTTTGTATTACAAAACAAACTGATCTAGTTAGAAGATAAAAAAAAAATGATAGCAATTTTAATAAATGTGAAGATCCGGAACACATAACTATATATTACATTATCAAATGTGTTTCCGTCACTATGAACAGAAAGTCATTATTACATGAACTAAAGCACTGACCCCCAAAGAGGTATACAGACAATCCCGGGACCCCACAAGAGGTCCACAGGAGTTTGAGAAGAAAACACCAGAACTTCTACTTACCTCGGGCACGATTCACCAAATAGAGTAAGACCACAGACAAAAGTGACACTGGGAGTGAAAAAACACAGGGGCTTTAAAAACTATGTATTTCTTCTCAATGATTACTATGTAATCATAATTACAAAGTAAAGCTTAGACACAATCAAACCTTTATTAAATAGCATTTAAAACTAAAAACACTGTTCACTATTCATTACTTTATTTTTGAAAAAATACCATTGAATACTATTCAATAATGACTACTATTCATTATTTTATTTTCCAAAAGCACTAAAAGTAAATTACACACCATTTTCTCCATGGACTACCCAGCCCGGGGCTGGCAAAGCCAGAAACGGAGAAACTGAGAACCCCAGAGGAGAAAGGAGGCCTCTCTGTCTCCTCCCTTTGTAATTGTTGGTCCCTTCCAGCACTTTCCCCCCAAATCCTGCCAGCCTCTAGACTGTTTATCACAACCCTTTTGGGGGTTTTAAGTCTGAAAACCCTATGTCCATTTTACAAATTAAATAACCAAACAATAAAACATGTTCATTAGACTCCCAGAAGCCCACAGACAGTAGGCTTTTTGAGGTGTTTAGCTTTTTCCCTTAACAAGTGAGGCCCACTGCTTAATTTACTTTATATTGAAATGGCAACAAAAACATTTTTAAATAGCATGGTGTTTGGTGTGAGATCTGACTGAAATTAAACTACATGTTGCAGCATTAAAAATACACAAACAAAAAACCAAAAAAACACTTAATAACCTAATGTTTTGAATTCCTACATAACCCACTTTCTAAAAACACTGTTTTTTAAATTTGATGTGTTTGTTTCTAAAATTGAGATAAGAAAATGCATTCAAGTCTACTCCTAAGCAATGATCTGCAAATACCACACTTCAAGTACAGACAGTCTTTATTCCCTATAAATGAAAATAAAGTTTGATAAAATCATCACTGTGGTTTGCCATTTTAAACATATGATTGAGGTATAAAAGACATCTTGATATGTTATAGTAGAATTTTTTTTTCAGATAAGCACAATTATCCATGGAAAAATTTTTTTTAAAGATTATATATGGAAAAATGCTGATTTATTTTTATAGTTTTTCAACAGTTTTCTGATGCTTCCTATTTATAACCGATGAACCATATAGGTAACAATTAAATAAAATACTAAAAATAAAAACAATTTAAAACTGCCTAATAAATAAACCATGAGAATCACACCTAAATCACACCAATGTCCGCACATGCACACTAGGGACATACTCAGGACGCTTTAAATTGTTCCACTTTAAAGGGAAAAATATTTTTTTAAAAGTTTTTTTTTTTTTTAGTGTTCCTAATTTTTTTATTTTTATTTTTATTTTTCAATATACAATGTAGCTGATTTTTGTGTCCCTTTACCAATTCATCTTTCCCCCCTCCCTCTCCCCCTTCCCTCAGCATCATATCTGTTCACTTGTCTTAACAAGTTCAAGGAATTGTTGTGATTGTTGTGTCGTCTTCCCTGCCTCCCCAACTACTGTTTGTTTGTATATTTATTGACTGATTTCTAGTTCCCACAAATAAGTGAGAACATGTGGTATTTCTCTTTCTGTGCCTGACTTGTTTCACTTAATACAGTTTTTTCTAAGTCCATCCATGGTGCTGCAAATGGTAATATTTCATTCTTTTTTATAGCAGAGTAGTACTCCATTGTGTAGAAATACCACAGTTTCCTTATCCACTCATCTGATGATGGACATTTTGGCTGGTTCCAACTCTTGGGTATTGCAAATAGTGCTGCAACAAACACTGGAGTACAGGTGTCCCTTCAAAATGATGATTTCCAGTCCTCTGGGTATATTACCAGCAGTGGAATAGCTGGGTCATATAGTAGATCTATCTGTAATTGTTTGAGGAACCTCCATATCATTTTCCATAAAGACTGCACCATTTTGCAGTCTCACCAACAGTGTAGGAGGGTTCCTTTTTCTCGGCAACCTCGCCAGCATTTATCATTCTCAGTCTTATGGATATTAGCCATCCTAACTGGAGTGAGATATATCTCAAAGTGGTTTTGATTTGCATTTCCTGATTGCTGAGTAACATTGAGCATTTTTTCATGTGTCTGTTGGTCATTCGTATATCTTCCTTTAAGAAATGCCTATTTAGCTTCTTTGCCCATTTTTTAAATTGGTTACATTTTTTTGCTGTAAAGTTGTTGAGTTCCTTGTATATTCTGGATATTAATCCTTTGTCAGATGTATATCTTGCAAATATTTTCTCCCACTCTGTTCGCTGTCTTTTCACTCTGTTGTTTCTTTCTTTTGCTGCACAGAATCTTTTTAGTTTAATATGATCCCATTTGTTTATTATTCCTTTGGTTGACTCTGCTTTTGGGGTCACATTCATGAGTCTGTACCCAATCTTACTTCCTGGAGTGTCTCCCTTATGTTTTCTTTAGGGAGTTTTATTGTTTCAGGGTGTATATTTAATTCTTTAATCCATTTTGAGTTGATTTTGGTATATGGTGATATGGGTCTAGTTTCATTCTCCTGCAGATGAATATCCAGTTTTCCCAGCACCATTTGCTGAAGAGGCAGTCTCTTCCCCAGTGTGTGGACTTGGTGCCTTTGTCAAAGATCAGATGGCTGTAGGTATATGGGTTGATTTCTGGATTCTCTATTCTAGTCCATTGATCAGTGTCTGTTTTTATGCCAGTACCATGCTGTTTTAGTTATTATAGCTTTGTAGTACAGTTTAAAGTCAGTAGTGTTATGCCTCCAGCTTTTTTTTTTTTTTTTTTTTTTGTGCTCAGAATTGCTTTGGATATTGGGGTCTTTTGTTATTCTATATAAATGTTAGGATAGTTTTTTCCATTTCAGAGAAAAATGTCATTGGAATTTTGATGAGGATTGCATTGAATCTGTAGATCACTTTGGGTAGTATGGACATTTTCACAATGTTAATTCTTCCAGTCCAAGAGGAAGGGGTATCTTTCCATATTCTTGTGTCCTCTTTAATTTCAACAGTGGTTTATGGTTCTCATCATAGAGATTTTTCACATCCTTGGTTAACTTTATTCCTAAGTATTTTATTTTTTTGGTGGCTATTGTAAATTGGCTAGCTTTCTTGCTTTCTTTTTCTGCACATTCACTGTTGGAGTATAGAAATGCTAATGATTTTTGTGTGTTGATTTTGTTTACTGCAACTTTGCTGAAATCATTTATTAACTTTCAGAGTTTTTTTGTAGAGGCTTTAGGTTGTTTGACATACAGGATAATATCATGGCAAATAGGGACAGTTTGACTTCATCTTTTCCTATCTGGATGCCCTTTATTTCCTTCTCTTCTCTTACTGCTCTGGCTAGTACTTCCAACACTATGCTGAACAGGAGTGGTGAGAGTGGGCATCCTCTCCTAGTTCCTGTTCTTAATGGCAAAGGTTTCAGCTTTTCCCTGTTCAGGATGATATTGGCAGTGGGCTTATCATATATGGCTTTAATTATGTTGAGATATTTCCCGTCTATACCTAACTTGTAGAGTCCTCATCATGAACGAATGTTGAATTTTTTCAAATGCTTTTTCAGCATCTATAGAGATGATCACATGCTCTTTGTCTTTGATTTTACTGATGTGGTGTATCACATTGATTTGCGTATGCTGAACCAACCTTGCATCCCTGGGATGAATCCCACTTGATCACGGTGTCTAATTTTCTGTATGTGTTGCTGTATTCTGTTAGCTAGTATTTTATTGAGGATTTTTGCATCTATATTCATCAAGCATATTGGACTGCAGTTTTCTTTTTTTGTTGTATCTGCTTTTGGTATAAGGGTGATGTTTGCCTCATAGAATGAGTTTGGGAGAATGGCCTCTGTTTCAATCTTTTGGAATAGTTTGTATAGAATTGGTATCAATTCCTCTTTGAAGGTTTGGTAGAATTCTGCAGTGAACCGATCTGGTCCTGGGCTTTTCTTTGTTGGGAGCCTTCTGATAATAGCTTCAATCTCTTTGATTGTTATTGGACTGTTCAGATTTTCTATGTCTTCTTGGCTCAGTTTTGGTGTTTGTATGTGTCCAGAAATTTATCCATTTCCTCCAGATTTTCAAATTTGTTGACATATACTTGTTTATAGTAGTCTCTAATGATTCTTTCTATTTCTGAGGTATCAGTTGTAAAATCAACTTTTTCATTTCTAATTTTTTGTTATTTGGGTATTTTCTCTTCTTTTTTTTAGTTAGCCTTGCAAATGGTTTGTCAATTTTATTTACGTTTTAAAAAAAACAACTGTTTGTTTCATTGATCTTTTGTATCGTTTTTTGGTTTCTAGTTCATTAAGTTCTGCTCTGATCTTAATGATTTCTTTCCGTCTGCTAACTTTGGGTTTGGATTGTTCTTGTTTTTCTAGTTCTTTAAGGGGAAATGTTAGGTTGCTTACTTGCCATCTTTCCATTCTTCTGAAGTAAGCATTTAATGTGATAAATTTCCCCCTTAATACTGCTTTTGCAGTATATCACAGGTTTTGATGTATCATTATTTTCAGTAGTTTCAAGAAATTTTTTGATTTCCTGTTTAATTTCTTCTTGGACTCATATGTCATTAAGTAGAACGTTGTTTAATTTCCATGTGTTTGTATAGTTTCCAGAGTTTCATTTGATATTGATTTCTAATTTTAATCCATTGTGATCTCAAAAATACATGAAATAATTCCAATTTTTTTGAAAAACAAAAATATTTAAAACAGAATAGGAAGCAGATTCCACTGCTGCCTTTAAGGGCAGGAAAATGCTTGTGAATCTTCAGAGAGCTAGAAAATAAACAGCTGTGAAACTCTGATACACAGACTAAGAATTAGGCAAATCTGAGAGACATGCCTTAGGGATTTGGTTTCAAAGGTGGGGAAAAACCTAAAAGTAGAAATGAGAACATTCAAAGATGGCGACGGGTCTGGAGCGGCCGTGCCAGGAGACAGCGCGATCCTGAGAAGTGTGCGCTGTGATACCAGAGTACTAATTGCATTTCCAAGAGCAACAAAAAACGAATAGTTTTTTCAACAACGATCCTACAACGACAAAC